GATTATATGTGGTTTAAATATGGTAAGGACTAATAGCAAATCAAATGATATGAAAGAGTATAAAATTGTAAAATTTTCAGAGCAAGAAAAATAAAACATTGAGCAACTCACAAGGCTATATGACCAATTTTGAGTATCGTATGATCGGCCTTACTAGAACAGCACCCATAAGATTATTGAGTTATCTGTCTGCTTGCAGTAGAAAAAAAGACATGACATTTAGGAAGAATAATGTATATTTAACCAGTAGAGAGATTTGGGAACTGAAAGTGAGGATTAGGAGCATAAGGCCATGATTATTAAACAATGAATAATAGGAAAGGGTAAACAATATGTTCTGTAATTTATTTGTATTTATATTATTAGTAGTCGGGCTCGTTATATTCTTGTTCCGTCTAGATATTAGGCGGTCCATAATAGAGTGATTCATTGGTGGGTGGCAGCTCAAGGAAAAGTTGAAGATTTTAAAGCCTGGAAACAGGGTTATTAGCCTTTTGAATCTGGTAAATGTGTCACAGTTACGGATAGGTATTGGCAACCTGTTCCACAATAAACTATACCGCACAGTAAAAAACTTACAATGCATTTGTTTCTGGCGTTTCACGGTAAGTAGTGTGTATGCGTTGTTTCTTAATCTATAGGCTGGGTCGTAAATCATAGTTGGGCAGGAGGTCATAAATGAGAGTCCATATATCGCTTTGCAGAGTAAGCTTAGCCTCTGTTGTGAAGAAATTTCTCATTATGAAACCTATTTGCCGTCTACACTTAGAAATAATAAAGGAGGATTGTTCTTCAAGGTCCAGGCTTCCTGTGTAATTAATTCCTAGATCGTGTACTGATTTGAGTGTCTGGACTCTACTTTTATTTAAGTGAAGTTGCAGTTTAAAGGGATGCTTTCCAAAGTGCATGATTCCGCACTTGTTAAAGTTAAATGGTAGTTGCCATTTTTCACTCCAGATAGTTAAGTTATTGAGGTCATTTTGGATCAGGGATACACTTTCGCTTAGAGTCTCGGGCTTTTAGCTGTATACTATTTTGAGATCATCAGTATATAAGTATGGTTTCCCGAATTTTATGATGTTACATATATCGTTTGTATACATAAGAAACAAGTGTGGACCTAATACGCTTTCCTGAATGACTTCACTAGTTATTGGTCTAGGTGATGAGAAACAGTTATTGTACTTTACCATCTGTTTTATATCTCCCTTTACCATGATCCTTAAAAAGAACAGCAACGACTGGCGTTCAACTTGTGACTATCAGAGATTGAGTGCAAAAACAATTCCTGATCGTTACCTGATACCTCGTATTAACGATCTGACAGCCACCCTAAAGGGTACAACTGTTTTTCGACTTGGTTGGGGCACATAACAGAATTCTCATAGCTGCTAACAAGAGTCCGAAGACCACTATCATCTACCCCTTCGGCCATCGTGGATCTTCACGCATTCGGTTTATGAAGTGCTGCGCCAACTTTCCAGAGATTCATCGGCGACGTCTTTCGAGGTTTCAGCTTCGCACACGCTTATGTTGGTGACTGCTTGATCTCAAGTCTGGACAGAGAATCTCATCTCGGGTAACTGGACCTTGTCTTTGACCGACTCGAAAGACGTGGTAACATTCGTAAGTGTCACATAAGCACCGACTCTTTAGATTTTCTAGGACGTACTACTAATGATCATAGCATCCGATCTCTAAAAAGTGAAGTGGTAGCCATTCTGGATAATTCAGAACCGACCACAGGCAAGCAGTTGCGTACGCTTAACAACCTGGTAAGCTTTTATCTATGGTTCATGCCGAATCGCGGGTTTCTTATGAGACTCTTAACCCACCAACTTCGTGGAAATAAGAAACTTGTCAAGTTAGACGACAATGAGAAAGAAGCGTTCTCCATATTTAAGAAATTTTCCACCGAAGATCTCATTAGTAGGTGCATCCGACTAGGCAATCAGAAGAGTCTTACAGTGATGGGTAGACGGTATCTTGAAATCTTTAGCGTTCTTCTCTAGACGGTCGCAAGACACTGAATCGGGATATAGCTCTTTCGGTAGGGAACTTCTAGCCGTCTATTGTACTCACTCTGTCCAATAATCACAAGTCCCTTACATTTTGAACTCGATAGTGAGAGACAGAGATAATAAAGCACTTAGATTGAGATCTTACTCAAATGAATGGTTAGGCAATCGTTGTAACGTCTATACATATGTGAAGACAAAAGCCTCCGGAAAGCTTTCGCGGACTTCTGTCTGGTGCTAATTAGATCGTTTGTTCATAGCTACTGAAATATACATCTACATCTGTACATCTACATGATCCGCGTTAGGGGAAAACGGAGTTAAATAAGTTGAATACGAGAGTAGACCTTCAATATCTGTATCTCATGCATTCGCTGGTTTGAACAAACAATCAGGGTAACGTAACGAATAAGGGAGAGCGAAGCGGATTATGGAAGGCAGGTAAGTCGGTTAAATTTAATCGGGAGTTTTTCAATATCTGTAGTCAGACGAAAGATGAATCACGGACATAAAATGAATAGGATAAGGAATCAACACACATATGGTCATACAAAAACAGTCAGGGTCAATGAACCAATAAGTGACAAGGTAAAAATTCGGCTTGAGAAGAATGGATAGAATGGTTTTTCTAAAAAATAGAGCAGCCTATGTGCTCAGGGAAATATTTGTGAGTGATAATTAATGGTTCATAATATGTGTGTTCACAAACCGGAGGGAAAGTTCGAAAATCATTTTCTTTAAACGATAAGGTTACAGACAATTATGGTAACTGTGTAAATTGCAATAGTTGACAAAATATGTCAAAAGTAACAGAAATAATTACAACAATAGTGTACTTTAGCTATCCTCCCACACCTCTGTAGCTTATTCTTGTCCGACTATGAATTTTGAATCTCGCTTTATGAAAACGAGTTGACTTAATCACCTTCTATCAACAATTTCGACTCATGTTGCTTTTCCATATATATGTATGTGCTTGGATTTTAACAATTCATTTGACTCTTCATTCGACCTTTTATTCAATCCCCAATTCGTCTGTGTTCATTTGTTTGTATGCATTAGCTTTTCTGCTCGTATTTGCTTGGCGTGTTTGTGGTCTAAAAATCTGTGCTCTTTAATTGTTAACTTTAGTTGCGCTTTATAATTGTAAACCGTTTGGAGCGATTAGTATATAAACTTCAAGGAATTGTCTGGAAGCTAATCCACTACGGCATATCTAACGAATAACATCGTGCTTTTTTACCATATGTAACACCAAGATCCATCGTTCAGTCGTACATTTAGTTCACGCGATTACAATTACCATCATGCATTGATAAAAGCGCTCGGAAGCTGCTAATCTTGCTCTTCAAAAATGGGACGCATTCGGTATGGATGAAGCTTTTCCAAGTCCTACATTATAAATATAAAACAATATGAGTGGCGACAAGCTGTCTATACAGTTAAAAACAGAAAAAAGCTGAACGACAACTTGTCTTAATGGAGATGCTTCAGAACAGGGATTTATTCAGATAATTACCCTTCCTACTCTGCAATAATACGGTGCTTGTATGAACTGATGCTTCTTTTGTACTTGACGACTGTTTAACTTCGAATTCCAAATACAATACATTCGTTCGTGCTCATCTAATACTTCCGAGTTAAATTACGTTGTTTCTGTGACTCTTAGCTTGTATAATAATTTAAATACTCCTAATTATCACAAGTAACTTTACCAAAACAAACGTTGATGATAGATAGCACGAAAGTCGAGAGGATAATAAGCAGAAACACTGACGAGTGATATGTTTACGTTATTTCGAACAAATTAGTTACTTTTCCTTTAAATTGATATTTGGAAATTCGTTTGTGAATGAGTACCATGGTGCATTTCAATCACAAATATACTCAGATTTGCACTATCAGTTAGTTACAGCAAGTAACAGTTCTGAAGATGGAGAAATATGTAAAAACTCTTAATTTTGATCAAACATCCCCTACATTCTGAACGTGAAGTCTTACTACCACTACTCGGGATCCTCTGATGCATTGCTGAAGGCATATTCTTTATTCTGCACTTTACAAGCCAGAACGATGGCTCCATCAAGGACTCATGGTTTCCGAGGCATACAATAAAGATATGTAGATCATTAAAGTGGATTAATTGTGTCGAATGACTCGAAGCCTACTCAAGTTAAACAGAGATAGTATGAAGAACCAGCCTACTTTGAATTGATACTTCACAATCAGAACCTAACGTGGATTACCCTTTCGTCGTATCCAGGTACTGCGGCTGGTTTGATGACCGTACAATTCAAATGACATTATTACAGAAATATATTGGTCAGAGTAGATACAATGAAAAGAGTGCGACCACCACTATATGGGCCAGTCTATAGCATGCGATCAATTGATGTGCGTTGGTTGTCCTTGAAATTGATGGGTATTGGTGAACTGTTTGACATTCAATGACCCGACTGCCGGATGATTTGGTAATGGCTCAGTGACATTTCTTCGGTCCTACATTTTCAAAAAACGAGAGTAAGCAGGCGGTGACTAGGATCTCGCTTTTCCTATTCACGTATTAATGATTTTAACATCTTACGCTCTGTAATTGGTAAAAGACTCATCGATAATAAGCTGAATCTTCAAATAAACATTTGCTGTGGGGGTCACCTGATATACTATTGCAGTTCCTGATGCCTAAAGCTTAATTCCTGTGATAGTCAACAAAGGATGCATTGTGCAACCCGGCCAGATGTCTGAAATTGCTATAGGAGTAAATCCTGTGATAAGATGGTAATTTTTATTGGTTCGCGCCAGCGTTAAAATTATATAATTTAACTCAGGACATTGTCCTGATGGAGAGCTTGATGAAAGGAACAAAGCATTTAAGACAAAAGATGACTCGCTAAGCAGAAAGAATGCACTTACACTCACTGATGAAAACATTCGAAAACATTAAGCAAAACACACTATTCGAAAATCGAAACTGTGAGTTGACGAGATACAATTTCGAATGCATTGCGATGATACTAACATTCCCAAGGTCAGGCGTGCGCAAGGTCGATAAACTTTCCTGGCTATATTACTTTTTAACATATTATTTTCTTAACCAATTCTTACCATATAAAAGTAAGCTAGTCTGAATGCCACCAACTAAGTTTCAACCGTGCACCAGTGTTTTCACATTGCATACTTATATAATACAAAACCTATTAGTCAATTAATTTATATAAACCCCGGGGAAAACTATTTCACCCGAATTTAAGATGATCAGTACTTTGGTTGTTTATCAAGCATTTTTTGCAGCAAAATTTAGAGGACTAAAGATGGGTAAGATGTAGAACACAGGTTCTTCTGAATTTTCGAAAACTCAAGGATTGGTTGAATGAGTTAATTTCATCCCCATACGTTCCTATGGCTCGTACACATGAACTCTTATTATACGTTCAGTAAATATTAGGATCTTCTGCTTAGTAGTCTAAGCTTTTTGAGGATTTCGGCCTGGTCTGCAGAAGTAAAAATAAATAAGCTCTAACGAAACGGTGGAAATACCTCCTACTTAAGGGTTTCGAAATTGTAAAAGTTCGAAGCAAAACGACACCCAAACCACTCTGGGTGCTAGGGAAAAGTTCTCCACAGAATTACACAAATGCTCTCAGTCTACAAAATAAAATAGCAGACCTCAGTACTATGGCGGATATAGAGAACCCGGATGTAATTGCTGTCTCAGAAACATGGTTACCGTCAAAAGTGTTTGATAATGAAATTCAGTAGTCTTTTTTTTATACAGTAGGGCTGATAAAATAAATCGTATCGGAGGCGAGGTTATCCTGTACGCAGAAATTACTTTAATCATACTAGCTGTTGAGTCGGTGGCACATGATTTAGGAACATGTGAACTGGTGTGCCGCAGGCTGAAATGTAAACGGCAAGATATTTCATTAGTTGTAATGTACCTCAGTCCAGAATGTGTCGTAGATGACTTCCTCCTAAGCAAACTTAAGTTTTGGTTTAATAGGGGTAAAATCCTTACACTAGGCGACTTTAATGCACCGTATATAAAATGAGTAGACTTAGAAGTAGGTTCATCAATAACATTCGATCGCAAATAGTTAGAAACTACAATTGCACTAGCTTTATCCCAGCACATTAGAGATCCCACCAGCTCCTCGTCTCTTAAACCTAGTCTTCACACAGTGCTGACGTTGGTAAAATGACTCTCCTCCCATTTCTTGGAAGAGGTGATCATGCAGTTATCTTATTCAAGTTCATGGCTGAGATGGCTTGCCAATCAGTTGTGCCGGCCCGTCCTAAAATATGGAAGGCAGGCATGTAGGCGACAAACTCTGCAGCATCGGCTGAAAACTGGATCGATAGAAAATACATAGACTCGTTTCAGGCAGTTATACACTCGGGAAACTCAACCTCATATACCCTGAACAGTCCCAAAGGAGAAGAATTACGGCCATTCACGGATAGGCCTGCATACTCAACGTTTAATAAGACAAAAGAAGTGTTGGAACGTTACCATCAGCTTTGTCACAGCAAGTGCAATGGAACGTCGCTACAGGTCGATAAGAAATAAGTGTATAATTAAAATCCGGGAAGCTCAGGGAAAGTATGAGATGCAGTTAGTCCAATCTGTACTCAAGCAGTTTAAGAGACTATTCTCGTACATAAATTACAGAACAAGGACGCAGCATTGGATTACCAACCTAAGTATAGAAGGGAGTGGATCTGAAATGATAGAGGATGATCAGGCTATGGCAAACTATTTCAGGGCAGTTTTACTCAGAAGCCTCTTCTAGACAAAGAACTAGACCCAAATACAAAGTCAACAAACCGTCTGCTCACCGTCGACTTTTGTTGAAACGATGTATTTAAGGCTCTTAGCACTTTAGACACAGAAAAGTCAACAGGACCGGATGAACTACATGCCACAATCCTAAGACAAGTTTCACAATATATTGCAACCCCACTAATTGTGATATTCAATGTCACTTGGCCAAGGTGTGTTACCTACGAACTGGAGGGATGCAATCGTCACATCAATACACAAAGCAAAACCAAGACAGCTTCCATCAAACTACAAATCTGTCAGCCTCACCAGTGTCGTATATCCTTATACACAATCTTTTATATATTACTATCATTGAAGTAACTACTCCTATGAATTCGGTGTTCATCTTGTTGCGCTAATGAGGTATGGCAACTTGAACCGATGCGTATATGTGCCTGGTCCTACATTGTAGCTGACTGACTGACCAGTGTCGTAGTCTAAATACTGGAAGGAATAGTCAAAAAGACCATAATGACATTCATGGAAACTAACAATTTGTTAAACAGTGAACAACATGGTTTCAGAAAAGGTTTATCTTGCAAAACTAACCTTATACCAAGGGAGCGATGGATAGTGTCTCTAGACAATGGAAAATCAGTGGATATTGTCTACATAGACTTCAGCAAGGCATTTGACAAGGTGCTTGTAGGTCGTAGACAGAAAGTAAGAAAAAATTATAGGTATTTCTCCTGGAAACCATTACTTAATGAAGTACCGCAAGGTTCTTTACTGCTCATACTGTGTGTAAATGAATTCCCAAGTGTAGTTGAGTCACCGATGTTACTATACGCTGATGTATTATTATTATTATTTGAACACAGATATTGGTACAAGGAGGCACCAAATACATATGCGCGACACAAATCTCGTTTGATTTGTGTGAGGGCTGTGATACTGCCCGGGTGCCCAAACCGAAGCAGGTATACGCTGATGTAAGATCCTGGCGAGAAATAACAGAAGATGCAGATGCATGCGCACTTCAGGCAAACTTAAATATTGTGATTAGCTGGTCTAAAGAGTGGCCGATGCTTAGCAATGCTGCAAAGTGCGTCTACATGCACTTTGGGGATACAAGCATAAATAGGTACCGCATAGGAGAAGTGCCCGTACCCGTGGTTCGGCCTCACAAGGATCTTGGGGTGACAGTAGGTCATAATCTTAAGATCACGGCCCACTTCCGGGAGGTTGCAGCTAAGGTGTTTAGAACCCTATAGGCTTTAAGACGGACATTCACCAAGTTAGACACTACCATGTTCACTACAATATACACAACCTTAGTGAGAACTAAGCTTGGAAACTGCGTTCAGGCTGCAAGCCCCTGTTTGAAAGGTGACTCGGATATCCTGGAAAAAGTACAGAGGACAGCTACCCGTGCAATACCAGAACTCCGGTGTTTACCATACAAAGAGCGGTTTGAAAAGCTAGTTAATAACTTTACCCCATCAACCGCCTCATTAACTTCCTGACTGTTATATTGTACGTATGTAGACAAAAACATAATTAAAACTCACTTTTTAGATTCCCAACTGCTTGTCATCGGACTGTTTCGTATAAATGGGAAGCTGTGAACCACTAGTTTGTTTGAATGAGTTTTATCTACTAGGTAATTTCCTCGAGTACTGTTCTAGCTGCCAACTTTGGGTAGTATCATTAATTCAACATGTGGTCATATTTTAGCCGAGGTACATCAATGTAACTTAAAAGTTGTTTTATTATTATTGATATATATTCGCCTGAGTTGTTTATTCTTGTCGATTTCAAGATGTAAAACAAAACTCCTAAATTCTAATCTTTCTAAATATTTACCGTGCCTTCGAATAAAATTGTTTAGATTACACAATCTTGATTTTTAGGTATGGAATTTATGTACCCAATTTGATTATGTTTTCACAATAAAAGAAAACAAATTCAAAATAGTTTATTTCACCTAAAGAAGCTGATGGATTTATGGTCCACGACATTCCTACCTGTTTTATTCTATTTTCATGAAAGCAACAAGAATTCGAGAAGCTTTTTGCCATGGTTTGTGGTCACCTACTAAGTCTGACTTTCTTTTTTCCCTTAACTGTCTTTCTCTGAATGAACAACAAGTAGCTTTGCGTTTTGCTTACCAACGAGATGTACTTAGTTCTATGGTACGTTAATTTGTATTTGTACATGACTTAGAAGGTTGGAAAGTTACTTATACGTGGAACGGCTGTACGATACCTTAAGATTTCTCCACATGATGTCAAACTAGAACGTTCTCCGGAAGGAAGGCCATATATTTTGGGTTATTCTGATGTGTTGGACTTCAATATTTCACATGGTGGCGACTTCACCATAATTGCTGCAACTTCTGAGGGTCGATGTGGGACTGATGTTATGCCAATAGAACTGCCAGGTTAGCTCTTTCTGTGTTGTATTTTACTATTGTACACTTCGACATCGTCTATCTTGTTTTTTTGTGATATTCCGAATACTTAAAAAATTAGTGGTTGGATACTACCAATCAGACATCAAAAAAGAAACGACTGTTTAAGAAGCCATAATGAATGTAGAAATGAGAGATTTATTTAAATAGAGTTGTTTGGTCTTACACAATATATTGGCTCCATATCTTCGCATTGTCATCGTATAATAACACACGTAGCGATATTATCAGAGAGTTCGCCCCTTTGAAACTCGTGTAGATAATAATCTGGGGACATTTCTCTTTTCAAAAATTTAATACTCAGGAACTATCCAAGATTCCAATAGTTTAAGTAATTTCGCAACTAAATATTTAGAAATACTTGAAACATACTTATTATTACTTCATAATAGTAACTCTATCATTTAGATGGTACATAATTGACTGAGTGATGTTCTTTAAATCAGCTAAGTTACTGTAGTGATTTTACTAGACCTTTGTAATTCTAATCTATACTTTTCCCTGAAATGTTCTATTTGTCAATCCCTGGTTAGCATTTCAAAGGTCCGTAAATGACTTCGTTTTGAAAATGAAGGATATATTTTCATCTACAGAAGTGAACCGTATTTTATCCTCTGGGTCAGAAGCCGAAAAAATGAGAAAATTTTATGAACACTGGGTAGGTGAAATTCCATCTCCAAGTAATTCGTTTGATGCAGTTAGTACATTCCATGTTAATTGTCATGTAGAACATGCATATTTATGTGTTTATTAGCAGCATACGCTTGTACATGGCTAGTCAACCTGAAAAATCCATTGGATTGGACCATGAGTTGTCAAAATGCATACCGTCTAAGCCTGTTGTCGCTTAGTTAATGGTATCTGATATATTTTCCTAATCTTAAAAAGACTAAATAAATACCCATCTAAAAAGTTTTCTTATTATTGTTATCTAGTATATTTTAACAGAATAGTAGGGCTTCTGTGTCGTGACAAACGTACTTGACCTGAAATGATTGGACGTCAAATGAGATATAATATTTAGTCAAGAATTGTAGAGACCAGTCGACCTCTGCACTATCGTTAAAGACATTAAATAATTGGAAACTCATTCAGACTGTTTTGATACCTAAGAAGATTTAGTATTACAACATAGTTGCTCTGATCAAATTAGGGTCTTCACGCAACATGATATTTTTAAAAAGTTAGGCTTTTCTAGTAACCTTATTTAAAACACCAAAAGTCAGTCAGTCAGCTACAACGTAGGACCAGGTACATATGTGCATTGTTCTTTGTGCTTGTCACATAATGACAAATTAGCGCTGACACTTCACTCAGCGGTAATGTTTACAGATCAGTCATTCTAAATATACCTGTACTATTTATGAACTAAGCAGTTACGAATCCCAGCTACTCGTCTTAAGGGTATCAACCACTCTTCAATACGCCTAAATAATTCTTATGAACAATTAGAATAGGTTTAATTAGAAATATGCCAATACCCGATTGCTACATTAAACTTTCAGTTATTATAGTTCAGTTTATTGTTTCACATTACTCCCTTCTACCTTATATCTTTATTAATTGTTTCATTTCCAGTCGATGCATATTTGTTTTAATTCCATATTTTTAATACACTGTTCAAAAATTATTGCTTTCATTTTAACATAACTTGGTTCAATTGTTTTATACTCAACTACCAATTGCTGAATCCAACTAATGTCATTCTGTTAAACAAGAATAACAAAAGTTTTAACTTACTATTCATTATTTCTTTCAGTGTTTTAAAGAAGCTTATGTTAAAGCTTTAGGATGTGGACTTCGTATCCCCTTAAAAACAATAGAATGCCAATTTTCTGACGATGGCAATAAATTCTCGATTGGTAATGAGCTTAAAAATTGGGCCTTTGAAAAACATAACCTACCTGAAAATCATCTGGCGGTAGTTGCTTGGTTTGAAAACACATATGTGGCAAGTTCCTAAGTACTTTATGTTTACTATTTTCTTAAAGAATTATTGGTTACTAACAAACCAAGCGAACCATAGTTTTGCGTTTTTATGTGCCGGCCATGCATCACCTATCCCAAAAAGTTATTAAAAATCAAAGTATTTACCTTTATTTTCAACTGAACTGTCTCCTTAATCTCATGTTACAAATCACCTATCACTAAGTATTTCGACCTTATTAAAAGTTTTAAGATTTTCGCTCAGTTTTTTAAGCTGTCTTTATCCGGATGATGATGTCCGTTCACAATTTACATTAAAATTAAACCTTGTCGATCACAGAGAAATCACTATCTTCTCATTCCAAAGGACAAATGAGACTGTTATAGACCTGCATCTTGTTTTGTTATCTTTTTCACTCCGCTAGTACTTCACCCTTTTGATCCATGAATAACAGCTTAAGCATATGATTTCGTCCAAAAGAACACTTTCTTCGCTGAATTCTCTTTTTCTTATTCTATGAATAACACCTTCCTTATTGAACAGTTTTTATAATGATACACAGAAATGTGCTTTCTCATCGCTTCATATAAGTGCAAATTATATGCACAAGATATGTGAGTAACCGTGTAATATTCCTGACCTTTGAAAAAGTGACTTTTGCTCAAAGCCCAGTACACATAATAATATTTGGTTGCTGAGATATGTGAACTTTAATCGTAAGCACTTTCTAACCATACTTTATTTTCAACAGCAGTAATGATTTTTTATATTTAATACATATTTCCTTGTGAATGTTTCTCTTTTTTGTAGGAGACCGAAACCAGTACTTCATTTTCTCAACTGACATTTGAACAATTAGTGGACAAGTTAGCAGTCTTATCGCCTGTAGATAATACTGCTTGGGACCAGTTTTTGAGGAAACCTCATTCACCACCATCTCGTCAACGAATTTAAGTTAATCAATTTAGATTTAATTCATTTTTGACATTTATTTAGTCGTCAATTGCATGCTAATCATTGATTTCGGTATATAAAGTATTTTATTTAAGGGAAAATTTTGTATATTTATGAAATAAACATTTTACTGACCTACTCAATTTAACTAAGATGTCATAAACCATTAGGGAAAATTGATTCGAAGATCAGCTTTAGGTAAATCATTGGGCCATATTAAAAAATCGTCAGTATAATCAGGTTTCATTTTTTCATCTGTTAGATATGATTCCCAAGCAGTTCCGAAAAAATGTACCAAAGTTGTAGTCAGCATAAAATAAATGAACTGATAGGGTACACATACAGTGTATCTTTGAAAAACATTGCGTGCCCAATGTACAGGTAAACTTAACTCTAACATTGTCGAATTTCCTGCAATAGGTAGTTTTTCAATGAAGCGATTTGGGTCAAATACTCTGTGAGGTTGATATTTGGTAGGCCCTTCTCCAATCTCATCGGCAGCCCATAAATCTGGATCTGAGTAGTAGGAAGGCTCATCAAAAAGCACTAGTTCTCCTTCAGCAAAGCCTTGCTCTAGTATTTCCCCATCGCGAAGGGCTTGACGCAAACAACCAAAAGGCCAACCAGGTACACATAAACGCAGCGTCTCTTGAATTAAAGCCTTCGTCCAAACCAAACATTTTGTGTGCTCCAAAGACATGCAAAGATGTGACTGAAAGGGGAAAAAACTTGGACGATTACCTTTCAGAAAGCGCACGGAACGAAATTACCAAAGCGTTAATGAAATCTACTTACGGTGGATTACAAAGCACCACCTAAAAATGGTCTTAATCTTTCTCAAAGATCACCATAAGAGGATACAAAGTTTTTTTCTTAATAATCATTTGGATTAGATACAAATAACGAAAAAAGTTTATTTTTGAACCAAATTTCCCCAGTACTACAAACAAACCTGAATTCAACCACACTAATCCAAACTAGTGAACAGTATCTGGTCTCTTGTGTTGGTGATTTCAAACTAAAAACTTATGGTTCTCAGTAGTATGTGTTTGTTACGACACTTTCCGTCGCCGTACTTGGATGTTTAAACATTTCATCTCTTTAAGTTCGCATGAAAGGATCTTAAAGCATCGGCTAGTAAGTGGATCATCAAATTACTACTGTTTCGCTAACATATTTGCACAGGTTGATAGTTGAAGTCATCGATATAATTGGGGCACTTAGATATCTTGCTTTAAAATGTGGATTGGTGTACTATCGTCTCGTGATCTACCCCAACCCATTTATTTACTTTGTCACTGGATCAGGAGAATATTGTGTTACAATAGCCGGTAAGGTCAGATATCGTGTCGTCTTACAGATAAAATAAACTTTTACGACAGTTGAGATACCATTTCCTAAGTTTGTAAATATGTGTGCAGTCGGAATAGTAAAGCTTTGGTGCATGTTTAGGACCATTTACAAAAATAAATCTTAACCTGACAACTACTTGGTTGAGATTCATTTTTATTAAGACAGATTTCATTCTGTTTTGACCAAGTTATCATAGCTATTATTTTCAAACTGATATTTTAAAACACATATCAACCACATTCACTTGGCAATTGAAGTTGATTGTACTCTCAGTATTATCGAAGGGATATTTTAGAAGCGATCAGTAACTATCATCAGTTCAATCTGATTCACCACAAAACATACATGACTCCCCATATGATAAGTTAAAACTTGACTATCCAGTTAACTTAGCTTAGAAGTCGAATCGCAAACTAACTAATAAGTTTCTGTTCAAGATATGTAGAAAAAAGGTGCCCATTAAACTTATTATTATCAAGTAGACAACTTAAGTCCTCTTTAACTTTTAGTAATTTTCTATTGAAAGTTCAAATGAAGTGCAAGACTGAATCTAAGCTCTTTTACTTGTCAATATTCAACAACTACACACGTCTCCAATGCTGGGGAAATTTCTACTCTCTTGTAAGCCCATACCTCTATCATATACCACTCAGATATTCAAATATTGACCACTAAGCTGTACCTTTATAGAAATTAGATGTATGGATTTTAGTGATCCTGTCCTACCGACCAATAAATCGGATGTATTTATCAAGCTAAGTGACATGCTCTTTGTGTTTATTAATAGGTTGGATTGTGTGAACCCTAGGGAAATTTTCTGTTTGATCTAATGTCAACCATAACGGTAAATCTTTCAGTGAGTATTATTTGATCATCATCAATTCGCTTCTGTCTAAATCACTTGATATACGATCAAGAAATGAAAACATATCTAAGTAAATCCTATAAAATTTAACTCACTAAAGAATGGCTGCATACTGATGTAGGCCTTTGTGTTTCCTGGTTATATTGGACTTCTAAAAATTGTTTACATTCTTTTCTTACATTATCTTGCCATTTTGGTTTAATAGCTAGAACTGTCAATAGAGTTTTTAAAGTCTTATTCATTGTATATCTAGTTATTAAACAACATTCACCAAGTAAATGAATAATATGTGTTAATGTTAGGAATTCATTGGAACTTCCTTCCTCTTTCAAATAGTGATATGTATTAATGAGTTGTAGTAATAGATTTGTTGGTTTCTCGCTTCTTTGTAAATATTCTAGATTACCATCTGGATTGGTATTATTTTCTTTTCTTTCTTCACTATTCAAAAATTTATCCAAATAATAATGAATTAAAGGATTTATAAGACTGTGAAACATAGTTATTAACTCATTCGTATTATGGAATGATGGGTTGTTGAAAAATGTCTGTAAGATTGCTTCAAATACATTAGACTTCTTTATAAAGTTCCCATGTGTATGTAAGGATTCCAGTGAGATTATGCACTTCCTTAGATCTAGAATGAATTTTTCTCTCCCAAAACAAAATGTATTGTCTGATGCAGTTTCGCAGAAAATTTCTGATGGGCCGAAAAAAAAAATTTCTGAATATAGACTACATATCCATATGTCTAAACGTTTTTCAAATTTTGCACAGTTGTTAGTGCTAACTAATATAGAGCCAAGTAATTGAGGATCGGCTCCTAAATGGCCGATACGTTCGAATATCTTAATTGGTAAACTATTGAAGGCCAACAACACCAGCTCAATCAATTCAGATCTAAACTGTAAAGTATCGTCAGCAATCATTAAGCCACACCATTTTCTTCTAAACGATCCTAAAGAAAAAGGAAACATGAAATTTAAAGCAATAATAGTATCTGTTGATTTTCTTTTGTTTCTGAGGTAAAATACATTATTTGAATTTAATTGGTAATAGAATTTATGACGAGTTTCCTACTACATAAGGCTTTTTAACTATATTTCAGGTTTAGATTCAATTACTTACTCCACACTGTCGTTCCATTGGTATGCACGCAGAAATTCTGTACGATTATGTTAAGCTATAGCTCAAGGATTCAAACACTAAACTGTTATCCAACCAGTTAATTGTCTTAAACTGACCATGAGTTGAACTTCTGACTTGCAGTTGTTACGTAAGAAGTGACGCTTATACCCCAGTAGAGAAATTTAGGTGTGATCACAGGATTGTACTACATACAGCAAATAAGAATTAATACGGAATTTGGCGTGAATCTTACTTACTTACTTACGCCTATTACACCCAATGGAGCATAGGCCGCCGACCAACATTCTCCAACACACTATCCTGGGCCTTCTTTTCTAGTTCCATCCAATTCTTGTTCATTTTTCTCATATCTATCTCCATTTCCCGGCGTAATGTATTCTTTGGTCTTCCTTCGACCTTGAGGATTCCATATGAGGGCTTGTCTTGTGACGCAGTTCGGTGCTTTCCTCAATGTGTGTCCTATCCACTTCCAGCGCTTCTTCCTCCACTGGGATCTGATTTTTTCTCTCCCACAGTAGGTTGTTGTTTATAGTGTCCGGCCAACGGATCTGAAGTATTTTGCGTAGACAACTGTTAGTAAACACCTGTATCTTTTGGATGATGGATTTCGTAGTTTTCCAGGTTTCCGCCCCATACAGTAGAACTGTCTTGACATTTGTATTGAAAATTCTGACTTTGGTGTTGGTTGCCAATTGCTTTGAGTTCCAGATATTCTTCAGTTGTAAAGGCGTGGATCTACATCTGTCCAAATCATCAGATCACATCAGCGCAAAGATGAGATTAGCATAACCACACATCACACTCCGACTTCCTAGTATTATCTAAACCCTTGATCCCCAAACTTTCTAAAATCTCACTGCATAAACTTTCCGAAAAAATTTGTTCACCAAGTAGCAAATTACTTTCCTAATTAAAAGTAATACAAACATATCAATTTAATTTAAATGCTAGCTGCTTATTAATACAGCCTAAGTGCTTACTTTGTATGTATGCACCAAATATGTAAATGGTTTTCATTCTCAAGAAAAGTCTTTAAGTTTAACTTAGTTAAATAGTCATTAAAAATTTGGAACTATTTACTACTCGTGACACTTCACTCATATATATATATATATATATATATATATATATATATATATATATATATATATATATATATGAGCACAGCCGAAACCAGAAGCTTGAAATCTGTTATTAAGCACTAACGAGTCCAAATTTAATGGTTGGGTGTTTCTTACTACGTAAATAGACAGATGCATCAAAACTGTTGGCAAGTGATATGAACCGACATGTACGATGATTCTGCGCATTACCTTCCACAATTGGTCGGAACCGCTTTTAGCTCTCCATTAATCGACTCTTTAGGGCTTCTCACTATTTCCCAATGATTATCTAACTAAGCTGTTAATTCTAAGGATAGTCTATCAAAAAGTGACATCATTTTCAGCATTAAGTTCATTGTGATATCTTTTAATCTATACTAAATACATTTAAATAGCACAACCCCATAACCAAGAACAAGTAATCGGCCTTAAGATATTTACAGTGTATTAGAGGCACCAGCCATCTGTGTAACACTCAAGGGCAATGGTACGCTACACCGTGATTCAAGAGCTGAAAATCGAATGCTAAAATCAATAGTCTAAACTACATAGAAACTGATATGTGAGTGTAATAAGTCATCTACATATACTTACCATATAATCCATCCTAAAAAGTTATCGTCAGCTTTGTAAATACTCGTCCTATTTAGTACATATCGAAAGCAACCAATTCAGTTACAATTAATACTGTTACTATTTTGATCAACTTAGAGCTATATATATCTAGAGACGAATTACTGCTACTGGACCGGTGTTATTGTTGCTCTACCCATATTTGCACAAAAATAACAAGACCTAGTTTAAATAACTTATTTAGTGAGTTTAATAGCCGTGAAAATGCTAGTAAAAAACCAATTTCGATATTGTGGCAAAAATGTCTGACATTTCCAATTAAAACTCTGGTTATAGAATAAATGATTCCATCGGTTGTCGATGGAAACAGTGTACTGTCATATTTTCTCATCCTAGCTTAATCCAGAAGTGATAACCATTTATCAGTATGCTTTACATTGGCCCAAATAACCATTTTATCATTAAAAGACAACAAATACAATACTTTGACAAAATGTAAGCAACAAACTGAATGGTAAGTAATGGGTGTGATTTTGTCACTTCACTTTAGTGAATGGACATCGTCTAAGTCGTCTTCTATCAAGATCATAAACTTTTTATTTATTAGGGTATTGTACTTATTTCATGTTGGACTTATCAATAACTTCACTATTCAATATATGGCTACTACTTTAGTATCACTATAATCTATCACGATGGGTGATGAAAATTGTAAACACATTCAAACTGTTTCCCCTGCCAATAAAACCAATCAATTGGAAGATTAAAAAAAAAACAATACAAAAATGCTTTCCCTGTTGTTTACAAATAAGTGACTCTTGCAATTCCAATAGGCTGATTGAGAATCATGAAATCTCTCACGTCTTCATTTGCTACACCTTCAGAATATAATATGAAAACAAAAATTACGAATGAATATTCAAACTGACTTGTTTAACATTCTCCGCAGTCTACAAGAAATATTTTAACCTAAGTTCTGAATTAAATTAGATGTATCAATTCCTGGTAGCCAATCTTTCAACAAAATCTCCATTAGAACTGTTAACTTTCACTTACGTTTCTTGACATGAACGACCAAACTGTTTCTTCTTACAACACAACAGCAGCATTTTGACATTACTGATCTACTACAATCTTTCTTAGGACTTTAAAAGAAATTATTTAGACTTTATGTGCCATAGTTTGATTGACTGCAGGATGAACACATTTGTTATGTAGTCTGTTGGGCAGACGTTTTGTGTTCGCAAAAGTGGTTTTAACCCACTGGTACTTATTATCTTTTTTGACAAACAACGTTATTCACTTTAGTAAACATGTAAGTTAAACATTAAACAATCGGTTGATATTTTGAAAGAAAATGAGGAGGAAAGAAATTAACAAATTCATTATCTTAAACTTACTTGGGGCTGAGGAATAGTGTAGATCTAACAAAGGAAACTGATTATAAAGAGTGATTACTTTCCAATCTTCAACAAAAAGAACCTTTTGTTTATTTAAGTAACCCCTTACTAGGGGAAACTTTTGTCTCCTAGATGCATAGAAGGATGTCAAGCTGAATGATCCATTTTGGCATAGATCGTTGAAACTATTAAAACTTAAACGCTTATCTATCGGAGGATTATTATAATGCTTCAAATTTTTACTTGTGGAATCACAATTACTTACTTTTTTTGAAATACGCCACGCTATTAAGAATAAAAAGACTAGAAAAGACAGTACAGTCGATACAATTTTTAATGTTAAGTCCAGCGACCGACTTTCAGTGAATAAACCCTTATAAGTATATAATCGGGGTGGAGGTTCCATCAATTCTGAAATAAAACAAAAACGGTAACTGAAACGATATCTTCATTTATTCAACAAATATTCTGCACACAGATCTGGCACGAAAGGACAACGTGATCAATTGAATGTATAGGGAATTTCAGACTATCTTTTACAAACAAAATATCATTTACGTGATAAATGAGATTATGCATAACAATCATTATTAAAATACAATATAAGCATAAAACCACTTTGAAACCATTAAAAATTCTACCGATATAAATTCTGGATCCTACTTTGTAATGTAAACACATTATATTAGCAATCGCAGACCGCTACCCTGATAACTAATTTATTACGGTAATTAAAATTGCTCAAAAGAAATTTGAGGTACCGGTAAACTTTTGATTAAAATTGTTTAAAATCTTACTGTATTTAGTATAACCGCATGATCATTCACCGCCGGTGCTATGTAAACTATCAAGTAACAAGTCGGGAAAGTTGAATAATGAACTAGAGCGAATACATATTTTTTTAATGATTGTTTATGTGCATGCACTACTTTGTTAAGATATGATATCAATCCAGCAGTATTTTCTAGTTTTTCAATGATTGTTTAGCTAAAATTGCTCTCTTACATAAATTTACAAATACATTATCTTATTTTCACAAGTGGGTTGATAATCAAAATACAATCATGTTGACAATGTACCGAGTGAAGTTTATTATCAATTTGAATCGCAGATAAAAATTATTATTAGTCTGTGTTTTAAGTGCATTACAATGCTGTACTTCCCAAACGTGCAGAACGTTGTCCCAATAAATATTCAGGGATTTTCTTGTTGGACATGTTAAATTTTCAAATATAGTTTGTTAGTGGGAACTCGAAATTAAAATCACACACTAGTTTAAAGTGATGTTCGTTTAACTGACCTTCAATGCATACATTATTGGATAAATTAATTCACCATGGTTTTCATTCGTTCAGAAAGTCTATGTGACATTTGTTTAGTTTGAAATGAGCTACAAAATTATATCACGAAATAAGTACGTTTAATAGACTCTATATGTTGTCACTCAGTCACAGTACAAGCTAATATTGATCTATACTTTTGCATCAATTAACTGCTGTTATTAGTTCAACCATAGTTTATTTATTTATTTTTGATTAAAGTCAGTACAAAAGACCTATAATTTGCTATTATATTGCAGCTTCCGTCACCTTTGACAAATTCAAAAGCCCTACTGTCAGCAGTTATATCCGGCATAGTGTACAACAATAATGATGATATATGTAGTATCTTTAACTCATCAGGTATACCAAAAAGTATACTATCAGTTTTCAAAAGGCGTTCATCCTAAGTTCCTTTCATTTCTCGAGAAAAATATAAATAATCACCTTCACTACACTAGAAATTGATATTTGTTGATGAAAAAACAGCTTTAGTCTTAAACGCAACTTTTTATAGAAAAACTATATATGTTTGTCGGCTCACAATCATACGTTATGATATCCTCACTTTTGTACAGATCATAAAAAATAAAGTTTTTAAAGATTTAAAATGTGCCGTAACGAGCCTTTATGATTGGTGAAAATGAGTTATTCGGAATAAGTTCGTTTTGTACCCAGCAAGCTAGTAACAGTTATCTGTACCGTTTCAATAATTTTCTCAGGTAATTCATAACTTAAACCTAGCAAAAGTGTAATCACAAGAAATTTTGATTAGACTTTACAAAAATGTCGATCTAAAACATTTGCGTCTTTTAATTTAAATGGATTAGACTACATTTATTCGATCTAGATAGTAACAATTATTGCAAGAAAAAGTAGTGCAAGTCTCCAACGAGTCACCGTATTTTTTAGGAGTTTTGAAATATATGAGGTAGAAACCACCCAACTAACAAAATGAGTGTATCATTAGTATGCTGTGCAATTAATGTGAAGCTAAAAAGAGAACTAAATAGAAAAGATATAATAAAGACACACAGGATGATCTTCGAAAATTTTCAATGTCACCAGAATATAAAGCTATTAGTGTTGTAACCTAGTAAAAGTAAAGGGACTTATTAAGTGATTTTATATCTGTATCATCTATAACGCGTACCAACCCTGGAAAATTTAGTGCCACTATTTATCCGTCCCTCATATTAAGCGAATGAGATGCCACTTAAATAGCTATCATCGTCACCTGACGAAAGATCTCATTTGTGTACTGTTGAAATGACAAGAAAGCAATAACCATACCGAAAACTTAAGCAAACGTTATTTCTCGCGATCCCAAGATAATATAGCCTAACATCTATTGAAGTCGAATTTTAAGACACTATTCCTCGTCCATCTTTTCACTGTCACCAGATCTCACTGAAGCTGTAGGACCGAAGAAATGTCACTGAGCCATTACCAAATCATCCGGCAGTCGGGTCATTGAATGTCAAACAGTTCACCAATACCCATCAATTTCAAGGACAACCAACGCACATCAATTGATCGCATGCTATAGACTGGCCCATATAGTGGTGGTCGCACTCTTTTCATTGTATCTACTCTGACCAATATATTTCTGTAATAATGTCATTTGAATTGTACGGTCATCAAACCAGCCGCAGTACCTGGATACGACGAAAGGGTAATCCAC